AGGTAGGCGCTGGGCTCCCCCCGCCCCGCTCCGGGGCAGGCAGCGCCACCCCGCGGCCCGCAAGGGAAGGGACGGGCGGACCCGCCGCCTTTAGAGCGCCCACCCGCGGAAAACCCCCTTTCATTCCTTCTGCCTCGCCCACGCACTACGCGCCCTGCTCAAGCACAGCCCGTACTCGCATCGTTTCTGAGCTCTAAACAAGCAACGGATTGGCCTAGGCAGCTTGCTTTGAGGAAGAACATTATTCTTCATCACGGAGGCTTGAGGCGGAGCAACCTTGCCCTAGAGAGCCAGTTACCCACCTTCACCAGTGCTTTAGCAGGGTGCTAGTAGGGGAAACTTCTGCAGGCAACATACCGTAGGCAAATAATCACAATTTTCTTTTCCTGTTTGGCATGTCGGTGAACAGCATCTGGATGGGGACAAGGTTGTTGCTAAGTAATTAATAGGCACGTCTACATCATGTCCTACACAACGCGGAGCATCGTTCAGGAGTCGGAAGTGTCCCACAGGCTGATGGTTGGACAACTTTACCCTGCACAGGAAATTGGAACAATGAAAGCGAAAGCATCCAAATCTCTTAAAACCTATTTAGTGCCTTCGCCAAAAGCCAAGCTCCTTATTTAATAATGTAAGAGCTTTCAAATATTCTTTTAGCACAGTCCACATCCCATTTATATTTCAGTGGAAACATATTGTGGAGTTGAAAGTGCTAAATAGCTACTTTATTAAACAAAAAAAAAAAAATCACACACACACCCCAGCCTGTAACTCTTATTACTTAGCTATTCACACTAGGCTTTTGGCTGACTGCTACTAGAACAGCTTCAACCGTAGTAGGCGCAGACAGGCTGGTTGCCTGAATTACTACATGCTGTTTTTTCCCAATAGAAGTTGCAAATATTAAAACCAAGATACCGCATCTATACATACTTAATAGAAAACTTACGACTCTTTAGATGCACTGTTTCCTTAAGACCCATTAACAACATTTGTTTATCTGTCAAAACCAAACTGCTACAAATTATAGTATGCTTTGATCATTAGAGTAATTTCCTAGACAAAGGAGGAACAAACATGTAACTCAGACAAAATTATAATACACAAAATTATCATTGTAGTAATTTAAGATATAGCAGCCCTCAGTTATCATAAACCATTAGCGGCAAAGTAAATTTTAGATATAAACTAAGATATGGATGGAGCTATGTAGCGTGCAGCGGGAGTGGCTGTACAGGAAGGCTCTCGCTGTCTCTAGTTGCTTCAGGTATTTTACCACAATGCCATGTAAGACTTCATGAACTCTTCCAATAGTTAACTCCCGAGTTCTGTAAAAGATTACTATCCAAAATAAGACGTGGCTAAGACTTAGCTTCATGAGGTTAAACTCAGAGCAATGATTCTGCAGTGGTATTTCATTTGCTGTTTCCATTTAAGAGCTGAAACAGGGCGTGGCCAAAAGCTTTTATCACTCGGTTTAAGAAAAGGTATCATCTCATGGCTTCTTACAAGCCTTCCCTTGTCTATATTTTTATACTTTCCCTTGTTTACATTCTTGGTATCACGGGCAGAACAAAATTTTAGCTATTATCATGCATTCCCTTCTAGTTTTTGCTGGCCTCTATTTGTAAGTTTTCATGTGAATAAAAAGTATAAATACATATAGAAGTAAAATCAGAATGAAGTACTTAGCAAGACTGATACTCTCTGCTCATTTTGTTAAACAAACAATAACCAATAACTTAATTCCACTTGACGCTTAACAGAAATAATCTTTTGGCGGGAGAAATTTTAGAGAATAGAGACACGATCTTTGAGAAAGAAGGCACTGAAAAAGAGAGGATTCTCACCTACTGGAGATATTCCTAATTACTAGGGAAACATTAGTTCCGGAAGATTTTCACCTAGCCATTTCAAATATGTTTCAGTTTTGGTAAAATGTGATGATCTTCCTTGGTTGAGAAAGGATGTCAGTTGTTTAAGAAAAAGAATAAAAATATTTCTGCATGTATTTTAAGTATTGTAACGTTTAGAACAACTGAGACTGACTGCTTTCTCCCGCAAGAAGCATATCAGTGCAGGATACAGACTTCAAAGTTGGGAATCTATTAACTGAGAATGCTTTGCTACAAATTGCAATACAGTCTCATGAAACAGTAGGGCTCTGCACATGGAATTTGCCCTTACAAAGCTCTATGAACTCTGTCTTATTTTGCAGAAAGACAGCAATCTGTTCATATAAATATTTGGCAGGGTTTGGACAAGAGTATCTTCTAGAAAAAGCATCCCCTGTGATGTCAGTTGCTGGAACAAAAAGGAGTATAGGCCTATGTGGGACAGCTGGATTCTGAAAAGCCAAAACTGTTCAGCATTTGAGCCTATCTTGCTTTCTTCCACCCTCTATCTTTCTCCTACAGCTGCCATCTCTACCGTTCTATCCCACCTCTCTCAGCAGGACACTTTCTATCAGGTAGCAGCAAATGTTGTGTTGGCTGCTGGCTGGCCAATTTCCATCAGCTTCAGTAGGGAGTGACTGTGCAGACTGTTCATATCCACTGAATAACACCAAAGAATTGGATAAAAATCTTCTGCGCATCTCACCTTCCCCCCTCCATCCCCCGCCTTGAGATTTCAATTTAAAGCAATCCTTTATTTGTATCTAAAAATTAGATCTGGTCTAATAAATACATTTATTTAAAACAAACAAACAAACAGCAGAAACGTCATACTTCTTTTTAAACACTTTTCCTTATTTTTCAGACAGCCACAGAAAACATCAAACATTTCAAAAAGTCAACCTCATATTAATAGAAAAGCAACTAAGAGCTGGTTACATGATGGCTATGTTATACTAAAACGATAAAGCAGTGAAAATGCCAGATATGCCAGACATACCAACTTACCTAATTTCATTAGAAATTAAGAAACATTGTATGTAAAATTAGTTATATATTAGCATACTACTGTATTAATAGTATGCATGTTATGTTATACTTATTTATATATACCATATACATATATTATCAACACACTATACAATGTATCTTGTATATATAAATAGTTAGGATATATAGAATATATTTATAAATAATATAATTTGTATATAAGTGTATAAATATAACATGCATATATTTAATACATAATATAAATTAAATAGTATAGTCTATGTATGCTTACTCTGTATATATATTTTATTAATATAATTGTCTGTTATGTGAGCAAGGTACTCATTTGTATACTGGGTTTGAGTATCTTTTAATAAGCTTAATGCAAACTAGGAACAGGAGCAGCAATGGCTCTGAACAAAAATGAGATAAATGGAGAATCTACCTGACAAGAGAGGATTAAACCAGCTGAGTTGCTTATTCTTTCAAAATTAATGCTGAAAGGTAATGCAATTGTTCTTTACATAATCAGTCAGAGAGTTAAAAGATCAAGAACAGAAAGTAAGTCTGAAAATAAATAACAATGATAGTGCTACAATAAAAAAGCGTAACCACCCTTGAATAAATCCAGGCTGATAACTAGCATAAATTTTCTAATCACTGGAGAAATAAGGTTTTGAATGGAGTTTTCCAACAAGAGTAGTGGGGAGTAAAGTCCTAATAAGTTTTGAGGAGCTTGGTGAGCTTATAAAAAGGATTTTGTGTCATCACTGCCACTGGAAGCAGGGGGACTCAGTGGTCAGACATACATACCGATGTCTGTTTTGGTACAGAATCTTTTACAAAGTGGTTTACATAGAGTAGTTGAAACACTGTAGCGAAGTTCATAGTTAAAACTGAATTGTAAATCAGCTCTTAGATGTATTACAGGCTTCGTGTTACCTATGATCGTTATTAATCTAGGATAATTTGGCTCTTTTTCAATGTGATCATGAAACCAGCAAATAACCTATTAGCAAATACCTGTTGTTGTTTTCCAGTAATGATCATCATTCTGAGGACATGATCTTGCTCCATTTACTTCTCATGATACACCAGCACGGACGGAAACACACTGCTACAGAACACATTTGTATAATGTATATGCATTCAGCAGCTCCTAAGACACACAGATACCCAAAAATTCAAATTGGATTGTTGCTGTCTTGACATACACTGCAACTACACCATTTACATCTGACTGTCCAGCAATACGCACTATCATGCATGCACAGAATATTGTGAATTTTATCAAGAATTGCAACCAGAATATTTCAACAAATTGTAGAATCACCACAATGTCACAATAATCTTGCCACTCCTTGTTTAACTTACTTTGTGAGACCACTTTTCCTACTTAAGGAAAAAGTGATTACATTTCAGTCACTGCACCTCAACAGCAACTACAGATCAGCAAATATTGGTCTGAGCTAGTTAGTCTGACATGCCATGCAGCTAGTCCTCCCACCAGTCCTCTAGTGGACACGAAGTGATTACTGTGAACTACATTTTTGTAGTGTTAACATTCAAATTGACACATCTATAGCTCCAGGAAAATGAACCTATTGCTCTGAAACAATTCCTTACTTTTTGACAGTTCAGCTTGATTCTGAATATCTCAGAAGCTACTTCCGAGGCAAGCTTGTTTTGCAAAAGATACAACATTAGGATGTAAATAACAGTTCAAACTTTGCTATACATTTCCACATTGCTCTCTGTAGCAGTAAATGACTTTATAGACTGTCATATTTTAAAATTTGGTAGGGCTTAAAAGAGTGCAATTATACATAGAATTTGTTGTATTACTGAAAATCTCTGAGACACTGATTTAGTAAATTGCTGATGAATGAGTTCCAGGG